GGTTGGTGGCTCTGGGAAACAGATGCATTTCGCTTCCTTTCTTAATAACGAAGTCAAATCAGCCCTTGCTTTTAAAACTGTTACACCAGAAAGACATGCGTCCTTTTCCTTCCTCCTCCTCTTTTCACTACTCCAGGAATTGCAGACAACACTATCTCTGGCTGAGACAGCCCAGCAGCTCATGGCCTTGGATTTAGCATGTTAAGCCTCAACCAAATTGTGGGATTTTCTATAATCTTTTTTCTGTGGAAGCAGATGAGTGATGGCATGCTGCCGGGTTAACCCTTATGCTTCTCACATGTACTTTCTGTCTGTATTTTCTGTGCATGTTTAGCTATATAGGTGCATTAACACATAACATTTGAACCCAGCATTTAGGCTGTTGCAAATCTAGTAACCCCAGCATAGGCCTTTGTAAGAGTTGGAGATGCCTGAAAGGTAAAGGTAAAATGTTCCAGTGGTAAACAGTTTCAAATTTCTCCAATATAAGCTGGTGCTCTCTGAATCACAGGCCACATGCAAGTTCTGGGGCAGTAAAGCTGATCAAGGAAAGGCTGATTAGGTCTGAGGATTCTGGGATAGGTGTTTCAGCTTCATGAAAGATTCTCTTTATGTTTTGAGTATTACTTTTTGCCTACCCAGCAGAATGGTGGATTATAACCAGGGCCATCTGGATTTAGGCCATAACCACAGCAGGTTTGGACAACAAGCAAACTACTAATTCTTTCCAAGAAATACTGTTACTTTGGTAAAGTTAGAAAATCTATTCAGTTTAGTGAGCTTTGTTTCCTTTTCTACAACCGGATTGTAGCGTGGGTTGTTGACGCACATTCTATATTGTGCAAGTTGAGGAAGGCATCCTGTAGACTGCTGTGTGGATAGAGGTAAGAACAGTTGTCTGCCTCTAAGAATACAAGTCTGCTTACATAACCATTGCCATTTTATTATAATGGTTTGGGTCACTTTTATTTTGAGTGGTTAGTGGTAGGACAATAATATCCTGCCATCAGTTGTCAGTGGAGAGAAAAGATGCCCTGCTTTTGGTAGACAGTGAAGGAAGAAAGGAAAAAAAAAGTCAATGGGGTTGATTTACTAAAACTGAAGATTGCAAAATCTGGTGCAACTCTGCATAGAAACCAACCAGCTCCCAGATTTTATTGTCAAAGCTTAATTGAAAAAGCTGAAATTAGAAGCTCATTGGCTACCATGCACAGCTGCACCAGATTTTCAACCCCATTGGTGGAAGAATACTCTGATGTTGGAGTTAAAACCCTCCTGTTTCCAAAATGGTCAGTGGTATTCAAATTTCCCTTCTTTTTCAGCATTGGTGGTCAGTGGAGGTCAGATGTAGACATGTGCAATTTGTTTTGTTGTGAATCGAAATTCAGACAGAGGTTTGGATGTATCCAATCTTCAAATCATAATAGTAACCAATTTCTATGAATCCAAAATAAATTATAACGAGAACAACAAATTAATTTGTATTCATTTGGATGACATGATGCAATAGTTTGGACCTTTTGTTAATGTTTGAAGCATTCGAAATAATGTAACCACATAACGAATGATTCGGGTCCTTTCAATTTATTCAGATCAGAGCAGAGTGGTAGTCTTTGTCTGTTCTGCATTAACATTTTCATTATTTTCTTTATTATAAAAAATGCACTACATATGAAATGGAAACATATTGCAATACAGTAAGGTATAAAACTGAAATAGGATGATTTCTACTTATTGTGTTTGGGTTGGATGGAGTTGGAGCCATCAGATTTTCTGAATCATAACATATCGAATGAATTCAAATGAATTTCTTTCCATTCCTTACTTTTGTTACTCCAACCAATGTCATACACTCAGCTCATTTTATTTCTCTTTGTGGGTTGGACTAGCAGAGATGACTCAGAGTGCATAAGTAATCTCCCAAAATAATGATATAGCTCGTTAAAATGAATATAGCCAATCTTCTAAAATAACTTTTGAAAAAAAAAATCTATTTCGAACAACGAATATACGAATTGAATCCAAATATACTTAAAATGAATCATTCTAACATAAGGAATGTGATGAAATAATACGATTTACTTAATGAATGAATCCAAAATGAAACAATTTGTCCATCGTGCACATCTTTAGTCAGATATCTCTATCTTTTTCTCCTGCATTAATGGTCAGTGGGGAACAAACACCTGTATTAATTGCATCAGTGTAAGATGCTTCTTAGATCATCCAAAATTCAATGACAGGAGCATTTGACCTGCAGTTGTCCTCCTTACGAACTGCATATCACCTGTTTTATGGTTTATGCACATGGACATTTTTAATCATTTTCTATGCCTAGCATATATTTCTGGGCATTTTCCAGTGCCCTGGGAGCCACAGGTGACACGTACAGTAGGCCATTCAAGTTACTGGCTGTACGTGGCTGTGTTCACATGAATGGAAGGCTGTATGTGGCACCTTATCCTAAGGTGCCACATACAGCCAGTAAATTCATGTATAGAAAATGCCTAAAAAAGTACATGTGCATGAACTCTCATGCAGGTTTTACATTCCCATAGATTCGTATGGGAATTAAAAACATATTTAAAGCAAAAAGTGAACTATTAAAATAACATGCAGCTTTGAAAAATGTTTATTAATTTAATTGACATACCTGTTGCCTGTTTGGACCCCTGGATGCCTGGTCGAAAATCTCCCAGTTAGCAAACCCCATTTTCTGCCTTTTTGCTGGAATACAAAAACTTTTTTTTTTCACTCCTATAATGCTGTGAGTGAGTATCCAATGGTTCTAGCAACAGGGGTTGCAAACAGGGAGTTTTTTGGCCAGGCTTCCAGGGTGGGAGGGCAAATGACCTACAGGTAATTTAATGAACATTATAAAAAGCTGCATATTTTTCTGTATATGTTTGATAGAAGTTTTAAGTAAACAAAACACAGTAAACGTGAAAATATAATACTCAATAGATATACAGTACAGTCTACGTTTCTATATGCCAAAGTCAAAAGCAGTCATGGCTCTGTGTATTAAAGACGAAATCAATACCAACATTGAAATAATGGTTAGCTGTCTTGCATGGAATGGGTGGAGATAACCACTCTAAGGTTTGGATGACTCTTAACTAGCTAGTAATATATCATGGACTTACAGAACGACTATAGGCAGTCCCTGAGTCACGAAATAGGTTCTGTAGGTTTTTCAAAGTTGAATTTGTATGTAAAGCGGAACAGGTACATTTTTTAAGAGTAACTCAAGCCAAAAAAATATTTTTAAGCTTTGGATAGCATAGGGAAAGGTTAACTGGCCATGCAGTGATGTAGGATTGCTGACAGGTCTGGGTGGCGGCATGTGGTGAGCAGCAAGATGGTCTCCCAGTGGTCTCCGGAACTAGTGTGGCATGACTGATTTTAATTGTGCCTAAGGAGATTGACCTTGAGGTACCACTCCTTATATTGAAAAGATGTCATTAATGATGTCATTTCCAATGGAGAGAAAATATATTTGATATAGCAGCGCCAAAAAACCCTTTGACAGGGACATAGTTCTGAACTTCGGTGTCTAATTTCTCTTTATAGAGAAGAATCGTAAGGTCCTTTTTGACTGCAGAGACGGTGGGGGAAGAGGGGGGAGAAGGGTAGTCCAGGCTTTTAGGATATTTTTCCTGGCAGCCAGAAGACAAAGATGGAATATAAGTGCTGGGTTTGCTAGGACATGAAAAGCTGCACTTTTTATTATCTAGGGGGGCCCCTTGACTGCATAGGCTATTTTTTGGAATAGGCAAACTTAGCCTTTAGGTCATGCACCTTTAGAGTTGTTATAATGTAAAAAAAACCTGCCACTTTGAACCCTCATGTAAGTCAACTATCATGATCCTGGGAAATTGGGTGTTCCTTTTTGTATCCTTGTCTTAAATTGCACAGGTCTCTTCCCACCAAGATCCCCAGCCTTCTCCTCCTGCTCCACACCCTCCGCCCTGGCTGATTCCTATTCAGTGCCCCATGGATATGTTTGTTTTGTGTGTGCCTTCACCTCCCTCCCCCCAGTTTCCCACACTTGCAGTCTGTCTCTCACTTTCCAGTCTATTCTTCGTTGTTTGCCCCATGTCAGATCCCTGCTGTCTGAGAGCCTCTTTTTCTCTTTACATGCCAATTGTCTGTCTAGCTGTCCTGCTGTATCCAGCTCTCCTGGCATTACTTCCAAATGAAAAGATTATTACTGTCACCGGAGCACTACGGTGCCCTTGAATGTTTGTACCAGGCCGGTCTGGTTTTATGTACGACTATTGCTAAGCATATTTCACGTCGCTACACACATTTAATCTCTTGTTTATTCTGTGTCTTATCTTTTTATCAGGGTTCATTCAAATAAAGTTAATCTGTTCTACTAAACTGATGTTTTATTGTTGTTGCTGTTTATTCTGTTACATTGTAGATAACCTGTTCCTTTTTCAAGGCTAAAGAGATACATTAAGGCTTCATGCACATTGGCATATTTACCTCTACAGCAAAAACACGGTGGCATATTTTGGTGCCTCGGATGTCCTGGTGGATGTCCTGGTGAAGGGCTGCTGTATGCAGCTACTCGCTGTTGCCTGCATAAAATGAGATATAATGTTCTGAACACACACTGGATTCAGAACATTACGTTTGTGGGCATGCACCCCTTTATGAAAGTAGAGGTGCATTGCTTCATACAGCTATCTTCACCCATTCATGTCTATGGGTGGCTGTATGCAGCACCAGAACAAATAAGCCATTGGGGTTGATGTACCAAAGGCAAATAGCCTGTGTACCGCAAGTGCATTCCAAGTGCACTGAAAGTGCAGTTGTTCTAGATCTGAGGGGCACATGCAAGGGAAATTAAAAAAATAGCATTTTTGCTTGCACATGATAGGAAGAAAGAAATCAGCAGAGCTTCCCTTCATTTCAGAGCTTCCCCTCGGATATAAAGCAACTGCACTTGCAGTGCACAGTATATTTACCTTTAGTAAATCAACCCCAAGGCAGGGGCGGACTGACAACTCATGGGGCCCCCGAGCAATAGGGGATCATGGGGCCCCTGTGTCCTTGCCCAAACTCAAAAAAGCCTATGAAAAAGGTACCAGGGGCATCTCATGGGGCCCCCTACTGACCCCGGGCCCTCGGGCAGTGCCCGAGTTTCCAAATGGTCAGTCCGCCCATGCCCCAAGGTGTTTACATTGTGCAGGCGAATGTTCCCATGTGCATGAGCCCTAATAGAATTTTATAATAAGAATATTATTATTATTATTATTATACAATATTTATATAGCACCAACAGTTTGCACAGCACTTTACAATATAAGGGAGACAGTACAATTAGAATACATTTCAGCAGAGAAGAAATGTGAGGGTCCTGCCCGTGGAGCTTACAATCTAAAGGATATCCAGTTAGTCAGTTCAGGGTCATCTTTGCCAAGGAATGTTCAAGTCAGTGACTAGTTGAAGATTTGTAGAACATATCTCAGTCTATGGGGTCTTATCTGTTGAATCACATGATTTGCCATTCCAAATGTGAGCATTGGCTTCCTTATAAGTTAGTCCCTGAAAGAATAAAGTAATAAAAATGTAAACTGAATCGCTACATCACTGCTAAAATAGGCAGATACAACTTTATTCCAATAACGGTCGAGGAACAATCAAAGGAGTAACCAGTGCATTTCGGAAGTCCAAAAACCATCCCCATCATCAGGGATGGCAAACAAAATAAATAGACTAGAAGTGAACTGGATTTTCAATGGTATTTTTTCCTGTCTGATTACAAGCACAAATCTGGTCAGCAACGGATTTGGCAGCCTGAAAGTATGGAATTATTGTTAGCCCCCTTTCACATAGTTGTGTCCATTACAATCAACAGAGGATTCCTGGATGAATCCTCTGCTGAATCAGAGCAGAACAGACCAGATGCAACATTAGTGACATCCGTGTCCATTCTTTTCTCTGTCTCTGGAGCTTAACAAACCCATGTTAGCCTATAGACAGCCACATGTATATGGATGTGCAGACATTTACATCCACTTGCCTCCAATCTGTCGTGTTTATGTCTAAAAAAAATGGAAAGAACCTAAACCTTTTCCCTTTTTTTTTTCGACCTATATGAACCCAGAGGTAGTTGGATATAAACTGACGCACATCCATTTACAACCACCCGCCCATAAACTAAACATTGAGCTTCTGTTCAGATCCACAAAAAAAAAAACAGACAGGTGGTACAGACTGGAACACTCATCTGAAAGGACCCTCAGGGCTAAGCTGCATAAGCAACTTTAATCTTGTGCTACTTTGTGCCAGGAATTAATGAAATTCAAGTGCAGATATGTCACCATCAGAATCCCCATGCGATATAAAAAACTATCAGTTGGTTTAACTCTCCAGCAACTACCTAAAGCAGAAACATCCATTTTGAGTGGAATGATCCTTTAACGCTTACACTCTTGATTCAAGCCAAGGCAAAGCACATTGTACGAAACGATTGCAGTCTTTTGACTCAGCACTACAATGTTTCGGTATTCCCATGATCCCATAAGACCCTCATTAATTTTTCGTTAGGACTTATATCACTATTCTCCATGTGTCCTCCTATTGATCCATTGTCAGTTCACAGTTTAATCTTCCACTTTGTTCTGACTCACCCTTGCCCTTTATTATGATAAAGGGGAATGCAGACATGTTGCAGTGAACGTCCCTCATTCATTCAGTGACCGTGTTTCTCATGACGCTGACAGTATGTCTAGTTACACTGGATTCACAGTAACATAATGGGAGGCCAGTCTGGTTCCTGTGGGAGATTATTTTTGTGAGAAAGAAAGGGGAAACGTAGCATCACACCTCCATCTGTCACTACACAACTTACACTTAACCTTGTGACAACTGAAGCTGACTGGTTTTCTGTGAAATGCTGCACCATAGTTTGCACTCTCCAGTTTTAGTAAATAAATCCCAATTGTGACCATTAGATTTGTAAATTTGAACAGAACACTAGACCAGGCTAACATTGTTTTAGTATAAAAAAAAAACCAGTATGTTGACGAGGGACAATATTATCTAATAATGATGAGGTATTTATATTCAGTGCTTTGAGTTTCAACATAAAAGAGAAGCAATGTCTTCTCCTCCTTAACTACTTGCCTACAGGGGCACTTATACCCCCTTCCTGCCCAGGCCAATTTTCAGCTTTCATCGCTGTCACACTTTGAATGACAATTCTCCACGGTCATGCAAACGCTGTACCCATATGAAATTTTTTTATAATTTTTTGAGACAGATAGAGCTTTCTTTTGGTGGTATTTAATCACCTCTGGGTTTTTTATTTTGTGCTAAAAAAAAAACTAAAACCAACTGAAATTTTTGAAAAAAAAAAAGTTTTTTCTCTTAGGTTTTTTGTGATAAAAATGTAAATAAGTGATTTTTCTCCTTCACTGATGTGTGCTAATGAGGCTATGGTGATGGGCACTGATAGGCTGCACTGATGGGCACTGATAGGTGGCACTGATGGGCACTGATGAGGAGGCACTGGTAGGTGGCACTGATGGGCATTGACAGGCATCACTGATGGGCACTGAAAGGCAGCACTGGCACTGATAGGTGGCACTGTTAGGTGGCACTGATAGGTAGCACTGATGGGCACTGATAGGCAGCACTGACTGGCACTGATAGGTGGCACTGATTGGCAGCACTGATTGGCAGCACTGACTGGCATTGATAGGTGGCACTGACTGGCCACTGATAGGTGACAATGAAAGGCAGCTCAGATGGGCACTGATATGTGGCATTGATGTGGCACTGATGGGCACTAGCAGGTGGCACTGATGAGCACTGACAGCTGGCATTGATGGGCACTGATAGGTGGCACTGCTGGGGCTACACTGATCATCAGGGCACACTGATCATTAGTGCCCTGATGATCAGTGTACATGTCCCCATCTGAGGAATGCCGATTACCAGCTCTCCTCACAAGCTGTCAGTGTGACAGCTCGTGAGGAAAGAAATGCCGATAACCGGCATTTCCCTATTTACATGCGATCAGCTGTGATTGGACACAGCTGATCACATGACTGAGCCGACATCTTCGGCTCTTTCTGTTGATCGGTGATCCACTGTGTCTGAGGGACACAGCGCACCACAGATCGCCGCGCTGCGTGCTCCCGGAGCCGTGCACAAACGGTTAAAGTGGGAGGACGTCATATGCTGTCTTCCCAGAACGAGAGAACCACCTTTGCGCCCGTCATTTCCTTATATGGCGGGCGGGAGGCGGTTAAAGTGGTATTAAAGACAATAAAAACAAAAAACATGTCATACTCACCTTCTCTGTGCAATTATTTTGCACAGAGTAGCCCTGATCCTCCTCTTCTCGGGTCCCCCCACCAAAACTCCTGGCCCCTCCCTCCTGCCTAGTGCTGCAAGGGCAAGCTATGGGGCACCCAAGCTTGCTTGCTCCCGAGCTGCTGCTCTGCATGTTCATTCACACACAGAGCCGCTGCCCAGCCCCACCCCCTTCTCTCTCCTCATGGACTCACTGGCTGTGTCTGACAGTACAGGAGCCAATGGCTCCCACTGCTGTCTCAACAAATGAGGAGGGAGAGTCCCCGGAAAGCAAAGGCTCTCGTACACATCGCTGAATTGCAATGGGGCTCAGTTGAGTAAAAGGGGGCTGTGGGGATTGCTGCACACAGAAGGTTTTTTACCTTCATGCATAGATTGCATGAAGTTAAAAAACCTTTAGCCTTTAAATCTGCTTTAAGCTGCAAAGACAGCCATATGGGATTGAACACATGCCAGGACCCCAATGCTTTGCAGAAAAAAATTATACACCTTTTCCTGTTCGGTCGGCAGTGAATGGGCCACACTGCAACCAAACTGACTGCATGAAATGTGTGTGGTCGCAGCACAGTTGTGCACTATTTACATGGTTACAAGAGACAGCGAGGAAGCAACATATCATAGTTCTATAGATTATAAGATTGAAAAGACACAGGTCAAGTTATATCTATGCATGTGTGTGTGTGTGATTTTTATTCTCTAACAAATTCCATAGCCCTGTATATTCTGCTTCCAAATGAAGACATCTGCAAGTTTTTTGAAGTTGCTCTCAGCTAGTACCACTTCCTGGGGAGGAAGTTCCACATTTTACTGCTCTAACAGTAAAGAACTCTTTCCTCAATCTAAGGTTAAACCTACTTTCTAATAACTTCAAAATGTGGTCATGTGTCCTCCTCAGGAAACGTAGAGTAAACAGTTTGTTACAGTTACTGAAGTCACCTTTGAAATATTTGTACATTGTGACCATATTCCCTATCAAGCACCTTTTCTCCAGAGTGAATAACTGTAATCTATATATTTGATCCTCATACCTGAGGTCCTGAATCCCTCTTATTAATTTTTCTGACCTCTTTCTAATTCAACAATGTCTTTCCTGAGGACCGGTGAGCAAACTTGAACTGCATGTTCAAGATAAGGCCAAATCCTTGTTTTATAAAGGTGTAGAATTATTAATTTATCTCTGGAATGTATGTTTTGTAGCACCATCTAGTATACAGTTAGAGATTAGGCAAAGTTATGACTCACAGTAGTGTGGTGAGTCTAGAGAATTGTGTTGCGTTTACTTTAGGTCAGGGTCGAGGGCTCTACAGGTCAGGCCTCTGGTACCTCCCTCTGGTTCTGGAATCTTCCAGAAGATTCTGGAAGCTAGTGGGCAGAGGCCAAGAGGCTGTGATCTGCATGTTTATGGGAATCTGAACAAATCCCAGGCATTAGTGCTGGAAAGGTGTCTGAAGCAGCCCATAAATATTGAAGAGCCTGGCCAGTAAGTCAATCTGGTCTGTGGTTGGGTGGAAGAAGGAATGTTCAGAATCGTGAGGCCTGGTAGGGGACCCCAGGGAAGAGAGGCTCTGCCTCCAGGCTGCAGCTGAGGAAAGGAAGCTGGAAAGAGGGATCTTCAATACCCTGCAGTCTAAAGAAGAGGACAGCCTACCTAGCCTGGAAAGACTAGCACAGTGAAAGGTCTGGAAGCAGTCTCATCCATAGCAGCAGGATACAAGGGATAGTGTGAGTACCTCTACACCCCCAGGGCCTACAAGGGAATAGGCTGCCAGATACAAAATCTAGCAAGCTTTTATTAGGACAGTGTTACCGCTACCTGAATCCCTTGCTCTGGGACACTCTTCAAGGCAAGCCCGTGGGCCTGTGGTATTGCTAATTTGGGATTTGAGAGT